CCAGGGACGGCGCCACTACCGCATCGCGAGCCCGCGACCCCTACCGGGCTGTGGTGGCCGGGGCGTCCGCGGCGCCGCTCCCCTGCCCAGCACCGCCCGCCGCCAACGAGACCGGAGGGCGCCGCAGCCCCGCGCCTGACAAAGGGAAGGGGGAGGGGAGCGCAGGGGGCGGGGCTCGCCCCGCCCTCCCCACAGGCCCCGCCCTCCAGCAGGAGCCAGGGGCGGCGCGGGGTGGGGCGGGAGTCCTTTTCCCTCAGCCCAGAACTGAGCCGCCCGTCGCCCCTCCCCTGCGCGCTGTACACAGCCCCGCAGAGGAGGAGGACGCGGCGGCGGCGGCGGCAACAGCAGCAGCAGCAGCAGCAGCAGCAGCAGCAGCTCGCGCGACTCGGCTGTGGGTGAGCGGCGTCTGGGGTGCAGCGGCGAGAGCAAGACGCTGCTCCTCGGGCCTCCGAGCCCGGTGTCTGGCTCCCAGCGCCGCCGCGGCACCAGTGCCCGGGGCAGGCCAGTGTCGGCCCGAGCAGGCGCAGGCGCAGGGCGGGTGCGCGGGGCCGCTCCGGAGTCCTCCTTTCCTGCCGGTGTCCGGGCCCCTAGATGGCCGGGACCTGTAGCAAGGACAAGCCAACATTTTTTTTTTACTCTTTCGCTCTTCCTTTTTTTTGTTACGTCTTCAGATTCTGCCGTTCTTGTGTTGAGTGGGAGCCCTGAACACATGGCCGCTAGGCCTGTGCTTCAGCTTACCCTTCCTCATGCGTGTAGCCGGATCTGGTGTAGGGGTGGGTGACCACCAGGGCGCTGTGGTTAGGGGCCACCCGGACCCCTGGTGATCAGCAAGGAGCGGTGTCCCCCGTCGGCCCTGAACTGCACGGGATGCTGTGCACAGGGGTGGCAATAGTCCCTGTTCCTGCCCGGGTGGGATGGGGTTGCACATGTAGGGAGCCCCAGGCGAGGGCTGGTGGCCTGCATAGGGGAGCAGGGAAGGGCTCTGGCCATGTCTTGCCTGCAGGTTGGCTGGTTGCGTGGCAGCCCTTGTAGGAGCTCTGCGGTGGCCTCAGGGCACTGGTGCTTTCTTTTCCCCCTCCCCGCAGCACTCACTGCTCATCAGGCTTCTGCTCCCTCCACTTCAGCTCCATGGGCTGCAGCTCCCTGTCATAGGCAGATGTCCTGCCAAGCTCCCTGGCTGGTGGATGGAGCCCCTCTAGCAGGTCAGCAGCACTGCTGACTTGGGGAAGAGGGGGATGCCAAAATACAAATTTGCCCAGGGTGTCATTTTCCCGAAGGCCAGCTCTGCATAAAGCCCAAACCCTTTCAGTGGAATGAGGCAAGCATTGAGCATCTGTGTTTTTTGTGGGGGGAGTTGCATGCTTGGTTTTTTTTGAGGGGTGGGGGGGTTTGGAATGACATCTTTCTTGTGGATAGATATTGGGAAAGCATCACTTTTTCTTTCGCAATTGAATGCTTTTCTTAGGGAAGCACCATAAGGTTCTCAAAACTTGGTCATTAATGTGAAAAGTCAAAGGTCAGCTTCCAGGTAGTTGAAAAGAAACCAAGCATTCAAAATATGTAAATATTAATATTAAAACAGAACTCCTATGTTTGTTGCCAAGCTGAAATAACAGCATGTAATTGTTTTGTAGTTTTCCAAGGGCTTTCATATTTTGAAATTTCAAACATGGAAACTGAATCTGAGGTAAAGAAAGAGAAGTTGCACCAACATCCCTTCTATTGCAATGTAAGTATTTGATCTTATTTTTTAAAGATTTTTGGCAAAATACAATTTTGCAAGAGCAAATTGGACTGTGAATCAGTGGGAAGCTAATTATGTTTAAAGTGGCTTGCAGCACGCTTTAAGAGTGCCTATACACGTGGCAAGGCTGCTCTGATGCACTGTAATTACAGCACATTGGAGTAGAGTAGATTAATTGCCATTTTTTAGCAGTGGGATACTGATACACAAGATGCTCTGGGGGCTTTAATTAGAGTGGCTCTCGGAGCCGCTGTAATTAAAACGTGCCTCCCTCCACACACACATTCCTAAAGCATGTGTATAAATGCTATAAGTTCCTCTCTCTTTTGTTTTTTTTTAAACTTAAATCGCCCATTAATTTTCTAGGAGTTGCTCCTAGAATGTCTCAAGGTTGGAAGGGATCTTATGGATAATTTAATCCAACCTCCTTACCTGGATACAGGATATGTTCTTCCCAAGCTATCCCAAACAAATGCTTATTCTGTCTTCCTGACAACTTCTCCTTCACTGTCTTCCAGTGAAGGAGATTCCACAATATCATTGGGCAGCTTGTTCTGCTGTTTTACTCTTGTTAAGTTGCAGAAATGTTTTGAGATTTAGTCTCAAAAGAATGGCCCTTTGAAATTGTTCTCAGTGTTCTTTATAGCCGCCGTTCAAATACTTGAAACTGCTTGTCCCCACCTCTGATTCCTTTGTCACTTGCCTGTCGATCCTCTCCAGTCTTTCTGTCACCCTTTTAGTTTTCTAGCTGAGGCCTACACAGCGCTTAGTGGAGTGGTACTGTCACGTGTTTTACATGTATGTGCACATGTACGGACGTGTGTGTGTGTGTACACACATGCACACTTTTATTAATGACGTTTGCTTTTTTGGCAACTGTCATGTGGCTGACTCATGTTAGGAGTTAATGAGCTACCAAAACCCTTCTATGAGGGGTGGGCAAAATATGGCTTGCGGGCCAGAACTGGATCACCAAGGAATTTTGTATGGCCCACAGTGGATCCCTTGGTCCCACCCAGCCCAGGAGCAGGGGGAGCCTGCCAGGGTATATGCAGCTGGTCCTGCCACCCCTAGGTTTACAGCAGGGTTGGGGTGGCATGGTGGATGGACTTACTTCCTGGCAGCCTCTGCGGTGGCAACTTCTTCTGGCTACCACCACTGGACCAAGCCCCACTGCCTGGGCACCCATTCAGCCATATGGACAGGATGGGGCCAGTGGGTGGGTGGGGAGTGCTGTACAGGAGTGAGGTGGGGTGAGATCATGGGGGAGGATTGTGGGGTAGTGATACTGTGGGGCCAGAGCCTGGGCCTCGGGGCCCAGGGCAGAGCAGCAATCCGTTGCCCATACATCCCTGCAACAGGCACCAGTTCCATAGATGGGTGTGCAGGGAGAGGATCATGGCTGTGCTGTGGGACCCAGCCCCCCCACTTTCACCATCTCAAGATTGGATACAGCTCCCTGCCTGCGGCCCACCCCATCATGTATACCTGACCATGCGCCCTGCCCACATGTCCCAGCCTGTCTTCATGGAGACCCTGGGATCTCGGGGCAATGACAGTGTGGGGCCAGAACCTGGGGCTGAGCTGTGATCTGATCCCAGCATGCCCCAGCCCACAGAACCAGCACCTGCCTCAGGGTCACGCAGTAAGCAGATTATGGCTGTGTTCTAGGCCCTGGCCCTGCACTGTCATGGCTCTGTGATCCCAGCCCTGCCTGCCCATCCCATTCCTAGATGCCCAGATCTCTTCTTCATTGTCTCTATTTGCTTTGTTAGGTATTTGGTGATGATTTATTTTTGTTGTAAAGAATGAAGCAAAGTAGTCATTGAACAGCTCTGGCTTTGTGCTTTTCTTTAATAATTTGCCCTCCGTATACAGCAGTGGACCCACAGTTTCCTTAGTCTGTCTCCATGTTTGACATGTCTAGAATTTCTGCTTGTTAGCTTTAACATCCCTTGCCAGTTGTATTTCTTTTTGAGCCTTTGCTTTGCTCGTTTTGTCCTGAAAATTCTTGCTGTTTCTTGGTATTCTTCCTTAGTGACTTACTTTTCTTTCCATTAACTGTGTTTCTCTTCTGCTTTTGAGGTAACTAAGCATTTCCTTGTGTTATCCACATTGGCCTGTTACAGTTGTAATTTTCTGCTGTGTTGGAATAGGTTTCTGTTGAGCCTTCAGTGTTAAACCATTCAGAAATTGCCAGCCCTCCTGCACACCTTTATCCTTCAATTTTTCTACCTGTGGGACCTTACCTATAATTTCTTAGTCCTGTCCCTGACATAGACCCCCATAGAAAAGTCAAAACTGACTAAGAAAACACATGTGAAAAGATTTAAAAAAAAAACTCAGGTAGACTTCACCATTTGGTGCATGGAACGTGGGTGGGCACCATGTTTGTACATAGCAACAGTTGCTCTTTGGTGACTGGTATCTCTTCTTCTAAGTATGGTACAAAGGTAATCTCGGTGTCTAACTCAATGTTTTCAAGGTGAAACAATCCAATAAAGATGTTTCCAATGTCATAGTGACAAAAGAAAGTAGGGTTCACGATTTTCTCAGGGCAAATTATCTCAACTTAATTTTATTTATGAATTTTTTTCTTACATACCATTTGAAATCTAAATGTGTGTAAAACTGGAATATTAATATGGAATTAATAGGAAGTACTATAGCATACAACATGATATTAAACAAATTCATGCAACTATTGAAAGATTTTTTTTCTTTTAATGTTTTGGGATGAGCCAATACATCTGTTAGAATACTTGGTTTTCCTTATTCAGTTTTCACCACATTTGCAGTATTCAGTACCAGAAATGTAATTTTTTGGACAGTTGCATCTTGCAGTTTTGCATGTTGCACAGTTGCATGTCAGCAGTAATTAATCAGAAATAGAATGGAGATATTTGTCTGGAAAAAGAGCTCCACTTGTGTCTTCATACCACTGCAAATCTTTCAGATTTTAATATACCTCTGTAGCTGCTGTCATCTAGGCTAAAGCATTCACGTGCCACAAAAAGGTGTCTCGTGTGATGTCCATCTTGAATAGAGAAAAAAGTGGGGGAAAGCTGCGAGATCAGTTGACTTGTTCAGTGCAAAACTAAGCTAATTGCAAAACATTTGATGAAGTGATGGCTGTAGGACCTTAACAGGGTATTCAGCTCTGTTAACTACATCTTCAGAAAGTGTGCTATCTTCAGCAAAACCTAAGAGGAATTTCTCTGGTGATGTGTTCAGTGCTGACATACTTGTTCCCACTTTGCTGGTGACATCACATCCTGTGAGAATGTGAGCCTTAATAAGAACACTGCACAAAGTTGGTCCTAGTTTCTGTCCAAGAATGTAAAGAGGAACAAATCTTACTTTATCACCCAAGCCTACTTCAATCCAAAGTTCCAAAACTGCTGTTTCAAACAGTTGAAATGGATATTGAAGGACAAAACATTTGTATCATTAGACAGGAATATGACCTGTATGAAACCAAATGAAACTGCATCAAATAAATAGATGACCAGCTAAGTATCTGCTTCTTCTAGAGCAGCAGACAGATGATTGTGTAAGTGGTCATTATGGCCTTCAGTCAGAGTTCCACTTAACACTAGTATGTATGCTACCCTCTCTTCCTTTTTCACAAAAGTATTGTTTGGCTGACAGTTGTAATACCTCTTTGTTTGCTGAAGAAGGGCAAAACCTCTCCATCTGAACAAGTAAAGGAATGTCAGGATCCAGTTTTACAAACTCAGTTAGGGTAATAGTCTTTCTTCATTCTCATTCACCTTCTTTCAATTACTTCTCCATATAACTCACAATATCTACCCTCTGGACTAGTTGAAACTGAATAGCTTTCTTCCATACAGTATCAAAAAGTTCTTGAAAAGTTTTCATTTTTTTGCTTTGGACTTCGTGTACTTGAGACGAAGTCTACAATTACCATAGCTTTTTTGTTGCTGTTCTGATGGAAATTGTAATCAGATGGCTGCAGTTTTTTTTCTCAAGCTACCCTGAAAGAATTGACTTCATTGGTTTAGTAAGAAGGCCACAGTCATCAAATAATTTGTTAGATGGCAGTAGATTGTCCTTCAGTGTTCTTAATAGACTCTCCTCCATCTTTTAATATGTGTAGGGTAGGACTTTCTCAGCTGTAGAGTAGGATTTCTTTTGATGCTGCAGTTGGTTTATGTTTTTCTGCCTGTTTATCTCCACCAGAAACAAATCCTGAACACTTTTCCTTCTTAATGATATCCACAAGCTTCTTTGTTAAACATTCATCACTATACTGCATATAAGCCTCCTTGGTGTGTTCTCTAAATGAAAGCAGTCTTTCAGCTACCTGTCTTGGGACACGTTGCTTGCTTATGAAATTGTAAAGTTGCATCTGACTGGTGTGATGTATGGGTTCCCTCTACCTTCCGTGAAGTGGAACATGTAGAAAACATGTAATATTTGAGGCTGAACCTCCAGGCAACTTATGGCAAATGGATGTCTCACAATATCTAGTTCTGTCAAACCCTGTTAATTCTTGAAATGTGTTGCTGATTGTGAAAATGTCATGATTAACTGGTCATTTACATGGTATGTTGGTTATTTACAGGCTACACAAATTCAGTATTGGTCAACACCTGTATCAGTCCTTTTGTGACAACATCATTCCTATTCTCTGCTGCTTCCATGGTTCATTTTCTTCCATTTGAAGTTGTAGTTTTTTGATCATTTTCAGCCTGACACTTACTTAAATCAACATGGCATTCTTCTCGTGTCTTCCCAGGAATTGCAGTTCTTTTCCTCGCGTGATCTGCCAGGGTCTCACTGTATTTCAGTCAGGCTTCAATCTGAAAAACAAGACAAAAACACTTACTTGTTAGTTTGGCTGCAACCATAATGACTCAACAAAAAAATATTAAATCTGTTAAACTACAGTTAATACAGTAACAGTAACTGGTCATTAAAATAAGACACAATAAATAATAGAGTACACAATAAATTGAGCAGATTAATAACTTATGTTTATTTATTAAAATAAGACAATAGCAAACTTGCACATGACAAACTCGATCATTATTTTGGTAGGGCAGTATATGGTACCAATTTTTTTCAATTACATGGATGTGGAGCTTGGGAACCTACTTTCTTTTGTGTCACCGTGACATAGGAAACAGCTTTATTGGATTATTTGACCTTGAAAACATTAGGTTAGACACCAAGATTATACCTCTGTACTGTACTTAGAAGAGGAGATACCAGTCCCCAAAGAGCAATTGTCGCCATGTTCAAAGAAGATGCCCTCCCACGTTCTGTGCACCAAATGAAGTTTATCCAAGTTGGTTTTTATCCTTTCACATGTGTTTTCTTAAGTACAGGTGGTTACCTTAGTCAGTTTTGACTTTTCTGTGAGGGGTCAATGTTAGGGAATGAACCATCTCTGAATTGGCTGAAATCTGCCCTTTGAAATCATGCCCTTGTTTTGCTGTTCTCATGCCTTCATTTGAGAGGGTTATCTCATGTTACAGAGAGTATGTTTTGTATGAAGACCTTTATTAGTCTTCCTCTGGAGTTTAGTGAACAGAATGCTGGGTATTTTTCTGCCTGGCTTTGGAGGAGCTATATGTTTTGGTAGAACTGTTTATAAGACCTTGTGGATATACCTGCTGTTTGATTAAACAAGATTTTTATTTGTTTTCCGTGTCACCTGTGTTTTTTCACTTGCTAGTGTAGTACTGCGGAAATAATTATAAATCTTTTTAACCTAGATTTGCAAAATTTCATGTGCATCTGCCTTAAACTTACAGACTCACTTCCTGGGATACAAACACAAAACAGTAAGAACACTTTTTTGAATGAGCTTTTGTGTGTCACTTTAGCCATATTGAAGTGTGACAGAATATATGGCTGTAATGCCTCCCTGTTATATTACCAAATGGGTTTGCTTTACAAAGAAAAAAGGAGTTAATATTTTTATTTTTTATGTACTAATTCTACATGTGTAGTACAGCGGACCTTTTTTACAGCAATACTTTTATAAAAAGTTGCTGCCAGTTTAGCTATCTTGGTCTTTGGTTCAGTAAGAATAGAGTTGGTGTTTGTTCCAGAGTTTCAAGCCATAGTCAGCTAGAAAGGGACATGACATAAGATTAAGTACAGTCATAGAAAATTGTTAAGCTAAACAGCATAATACAGCAAAGGAAAAATTGTAAATGCTTATATATTAGATAATTTTGTTGAAATCTGCCCTTTTTGAAGTGTTGTCCTTGTTTTATCTTTTGCATTTTGGATAACCATCTTGAATACCTACACAAGTTTAACTTATTAAATAAGATTCTGTGTGTATGTGTGCATGCGCGCGCACTCACACTCATGAACTCATTACTTCAGATGTATAGATTTCTGAATAAATGTTAAGTAATTTTTTTCCCTCCGGAAAAAAATCTCTCATCAATTCAGGTTGAAGAAGCTCTAAAAGCCCATGGCATTGGTAAGTGCTAATTTATCTTTCTTAAGTGCTTAATTTATCTTTCTGTTTTCACTAAAGCAGTATGTTATGTTTTACAAATATTTGTACAAAACCAGAAGCAAGCTTATCAAAAATAATCATTTTAGACCCAGTCCTTTATTCCCAGCTGTCCTGAGTAGCCAGTGGCATTTCTTGCATGAGTCAAGGCTGCACAATCTTCAGCCTTAGAATTTAAAGTAACACATTGTAATTACTGTGAATGCAACAGTTAACGTGGGATTATTGTTATAATCCTACACCAAAAATGTTAGATTAATTGTCAGAGGCCTTTGAGACCTGAACTATCTATAGGACTTAAAGAATTCAGTAGACTTCTAAATTTTGTGACCACATATGTGTTTCAGTTAGTTTACAAATTTTTTTTTAAATCTCATTAGTTAGAACAGAATACTTTTCAGTATGTTTAATAACCTAATATTTTAGGTTGGTTATTGTCATCCCTTTATTGCAAATGACCTGCTTGGCTCAACAGGGATATTAGGGAACTATTGAAAAAAGAAAAAAGAAGCATATAAGCAATGGAAAAATGGTTCAGCAACCAGAGAGGAGTACACTTTTATATAGCCAGGGTCTGGAGGTATGAGACACAGAAAGCTGGCAATCGAAATAAAGGACAACAAAAAGTCCGTCTATAGGTACATAGGGAACAAGAAAAAATCAAGCTCCACCTTGGGACCCCTACTGAATACAGAGGGACAGCCCACAGTTAATCTCTATGAAAAGGCAGAGCTCCTAAATACTTACTTCACATCGGTATTCCTGAAATCAGATGGGAGCTGTTCACCTGTCCAAAAGCCCAGGGAATATAGGGAAGATAACAGACCACATGAAATCAGTCCTGAAGAGATGAGAGTACTCTTAGAACATTTGGACATTTTTCAAGTCTGCTGGGCCAGATGACTTACATCTGAGAGTCTTGAAAGAACTGGCTGAGCACATTTCAGGGCCTCTGATGAAGCTGTTCGAAGAGACGTGGAAATCAGGAGTGGTTCCGAATGACTGGAAGAGGGCCAACATGTTACCTATCTTTAAGAAAGGGAAGAGGGATGACCCTGCAAACTATAGACCAGTCTGTCTGACTTCAGTCCTGGGAAAAATTTTTGAAAAAATTAAGGAGGCTATCAATTACAAGCTTGTAACTGATGGGGTATTAAAAAGCAACCAGCACGGCCTTTCAAGGGTAGGTCATGCCTAACAAACCTGGTGTCCTTTTATGACCAGATAACTAACCAGCTGGACCATGGACATCAGGTTGGTGTCATTTACCTAGACTTCAGTAAAGCCTTTGATTCTGTTTCCCATGAGATTCTCTCAGTTAAACGGGAGGGTACTGGCCTAAATCAGTCTACAGTGAGGTGGATAGACAACTGGCTTAGAGGCCGATCCCAGAGAGTTGTAGTTGATGGGATGGCCTCACCCTCAAGGGCCATCTCCAATGGTGTCTCTCAGGAATTGGTGCTTGGACCCATGCTCTTTAACATCTTGATCAAAGACTTGGATGAAGGGGTGGAAAGAGCAATGATTAAGTTTGCAGATGACACCAAACTGCGAAAATGTGGGCACATCTGATGATAAGGTAAGGATCCAGGATAACGTTGACAGACTGGTCCTATGGGCTGAATGGAATCAGATGAAGTTCAACAGGGAAAAGTGCCGGGTAGAAAAAACCTTCACCATAACTACACGATGAATGGTGGTCCACTGGCTGGCACAGCATCTAAATGGGACCCAGGGGTGACAGTCGACCAGAAGATGAACATGAGCCAACAGTGCAATGAAGTCACCAGCAGGACAAATAGAACTCTGGCATGCATCAGCCAATGTGTTGCCAGTAGATCCAGGGAGGTGCTTCGCCCTCTCTATTCAGTGTTGGTGGGCCATAGCTGGAGTACTGTGCCCAGTTCTGGGTACCGCACTTCAGGAAGGATGTGGATAAGCTTGAAAGGGTACAAAGAAGGGCCACCCGTATGATCAGGACCTGGAGGATAGGCCATATGAGAAAAGACTCTGAGAACTGGGTATGTTCAGTCTGAGTAAGAGAAGACTGAGAGGTGACTTGATAGCCATGTACAAGTATGTCAGGGGTGAGCACCAAGATCTAGGGGAGCAACTCTTTAGGAAGACACCCCTTGGGAGGATGAGATCCAATGGGCACAAGCGAATTGAGGAAAAGCTTAGGCTGGACATAAGGAAAAACTTCTTTTCTGTAAGGGTGATGAGAATGTGGAACACACTCCCAGCAGAGGTGGTACAGATGTCATTCTTGGAGGTGTTCAAGAGGAGGCTGGATAAGTACCTCATTGAGGTCGTTTGAGCCCAATAACCTCCTGCCTGTGGCAGGGGACTGGACTTGATGATCTTGCAGGTCCCTTCCAGTCCTTTGATTCTATAATTCTGTGAAATATTTAGGTGTTGCCTCCTGACCTAATTTATGGTACACAGAATTCAACAGCAACAAAATATTTAAAATTAAATAATCTTTAATATTTAACATCAATAAAAGCCTGTTTTCTTTAACATAATTCATGTCCATGGTTCATGTCCAGTCTCCATGACTAGATTCTTCCTGGGCAAGAAGCATTTTTAGAAATGTTTATTTGGTTTTTTTTAATTTATTTCTTTAGTTAAAACGGTCAGTGGTTCAGGAGATCAAGCAAAAGCTCCTGTAAAACTTCCTGATTATGGTAAGTTAATTGCCTTATCTAATAAAGTGTAGAAAAACAGTAGGTGTGTGTTTTACTTGTGAATTTCAAGAAAAGGTGAAAATTCATTACCTCTAACAGTATGAAAAATAGCTAGGTTTAATAGGAAATTTGTAATTTGCTTTTATTTATTGTACTGTATTATTCTCTATTTAACACGCATACTACAGAAGGGTTTTATAAGGGAAGATAAAATGTGAGTAGGATTTCAGGAGTGATCATTCACTATATAGGCTGGTTTTGTCTAGTGTGTCTTTGCTTTGCTTCCTGGAGGGCATTTCAGAAAAGGAATTAAGTTTGCCTGGATTTGTTAGCAAACTTAAATCTGTGGCTGAAATAGTGGGCACCATTTCTTTTTTTCAATTAGCACTATTCTTAAAAGTATCAGGGTAGACAGTGATGAATAATGTATGGTGATTATTGCTGTGGTGAAGGGGATTTATACCAAATTTTAGTGACATGCTTATATTTTATAGTTCAAACCGAGCCAGAAAAGTTTCAAGGACAAACCCTGGAAGAACAGCTTAATACATGTAAAGATTCGGAACCTGCCCTCGGTGAGCTTTTTTTGTTCCGTGCTATAACTAAATGCCTTTAAAACAGTGGTCTCCAACTTTTTTTATGGTGAAGATCACATTTTGGCACCCAGGATCTACCATCCCTCCCTGCCCACCTCCCAGACAAGCTGCCCAGGCTCTGACTCCACTCACCCAGCCACATGTGTCCTGCCATTCCCAATCATGGAGCCTCTGACAGACTGAGATCGACTGTCAGAGGCTCCACAATCAACCAGTCGATCGAGATCGATTAGTTGGTGACCACTGCTTTAAAGTATATTAAATTTGCAGAGGGATTGAATCACCTATACATGTTATATTTACTCAAATACAAGATGAGGTCCTCCCACATCAGTATTGGGGGGGAAAGCTCCTAATCTTATTCACATACAAGAAAATTTACTAAATATATTGTCTATCATTAAACTGTTGCCGAAAGCAGCATGTGCTCAGTAATGGAAACCAACTATGAAGCTGATTAATGCACCCAACACTTAGCATGACTATAAAACACATGGCCCATATTGGACAAACATACTGATGGAAACTTTTTTTTTATTATGATGAAAGTATCAAAAACTTAAAAACCTGCTTTCAACTTAACTTGCTTTCATCAGCCTACATTGCATTACAGAAAAAAGTCTACATCAGGCCAACAAAACTCAGTATTGAAACTTAAAACATTCTTCTATGAGCTCATTTCTGGTGTCTTGCCAGAAATACCACCCCAATTTGCTCAAGCCCAAATGTAAGGTATCTTCTTCAGAGAGTTCCAGTTGTTGCAAGAGTGAGTTTCTTGCCTTCCACAATGCCATGCAAAAGCTCACTACAGCTTTCCTTATTCTTTCTCCACCCTTCCTCTGGGTTTCAGCCCACTTTCCACATGCAGCTGCTTCTAGCATGATTTGCCCCTTAGCACCCAGCTAAGGAGGCAAATTGTAGGAGTTTCTCTGCCTTCCCCCAGACCATTTTGGTGAAATGACACTCCTGCATCACATGCCACATCCTTTTTTTCCTGCTATGTTTGTCTGGAGCGTTCTGCTGTTCTGTACTGGTAACAGTTGGGGACTATATAGGAGTTCCATTAAAATCCGATGTGCTGGCAGCCAACTAAAGTCCCGGTGCTGCTTCTGTAAGCTTTTGTCAAACTCCCTTCCAGATTGTCCGTGCTACTACTCCTGTGAATCTCCCAACTGGGGACACAGTCTCCTTTTCCCTGACTCTGGCTTTGATTTTCTTTTTTTTTTTAATAGCCCACCAACTCTCTTATGGCTATCATCTTTATCCCATACCAAGTCACAAATTTTACAGTCTTTTCATACATTGGTGGCATTATCCAGGCCTAGGGCTGTGAGAGTGACCTTTTGTATACATTATATATATGCAATAACATCCCTATATTGTATCAGACCAACCCAGCCCATTTGGTACCCTATTTTACCCCTCCTTTGCAGCATAGTCTGACATACTTCACATAAACACACACACATCTGGGAAGCCCCATCTTTCATTCAGTTTTTCCTTGTATAGTGTTATTCTCCTAAACCTTTCCCTCTTGGCTTTCCAAAAGAATACCATTAGTTCCTGTTGAAACCTACACGGTGGTCCATGATGGAGGGAACACCACACCTACATACAGTAGGAATGGGAGTACCACTATCTTAATTACATTTACTCATCCTGCCATCAATAGTTGGTAGTCATCAGCTCCCCAGTTTTGGTTTCACCTTCCCTCTCACCTTCTCCCAGGCTCCTTCACCTGTTAATCGCACGTTCACCTCCACTCCACTCCCAGTCCATTATGACATGTGACCCCAGTTTTCCCATTCCTTTCATCTTCCCCACCACCAGGCACTTAGTTTTTTTGTATATTTAGTTTTGCCCCAATGCCTTTTCACGTTCGTATGCATGTCTTATTCTCCGTTTTAGGGACACACTGCCTCTTGCTAAGATATTGACATCATCCATGTACATCATGCATTTTGCTTGTGTGTCCTTTCCTTTGGGGATTGGAACACCTTTGATCTTGCAGTCTGTCCTAATTCTCTGTTCCAACTGCTTGATGATGCGGATGAATAGGAATGTTTACTTGGGGCACCCCTGTCTCATGCCTGATCTAATCTTGACTTTCTTCATTAGACGACCATTTGCTCCTACCCTATACCATGCTCCTTTGTATAAAGTGTCAGTCCAACTTGGAAACTTTGGTGGTACCCCCATGTTGTTCAGTGGGCTAAACAGGAACTCCTGCTCCACCCCCTACTTTTTCCAAATTGAGATTCAGGATTTCTACATTCAATCCTTGTTCTTGACAGTAACAAACATGCATCTTATCAGCAGCAGTGTTTTAGTTACTGCTCTGTCAGGGATTGCACAAGCCTGGTCACTGTAGAGCCATCTTTCCCACAACTTTTTTTTTAATCTGTTTGTAAAAAGTTTGGCATTATTTTATAATCTGAGTTCGATAAGATGATTGGCCTCCAGTTCTCCAACTTTTCCCATTCTCTCTTCTTGTGTAATAGTATTATTATTCCTGCGTCTATACCTCCCCTGAGCTGCTGTCTCTCCAGACACTCCTGGAACACTGGCAACAGGTCCAGGCTTAGTATGTCCCAGAAAGTCTTGTAAAATTTTGCCAGAAGCCTATTGCTCCCCGGAGCCTTTCCTGCCTTGACGGTTGGGGTTGCCTTCCATAGTTCTTCCAATGTGCATGCCTTCTCTAGCTGATGCCTCTCACTTTCTGACAAGCTCACCTCTAACCTCACGTGGAGTTGAGAGCAGGTTCACTAGAGTGGATGTGGCAGGCTATTTGTGGTCCCACATTAACTTTGCTTTTAGGTCTGTAGACTGGAATGTTCGAGCAATAGAATACTGGTCGTCTTGCACCACCTGCAACTGCGAATGGTGCTGGAAGTGGGAGAGCAAGGAACGCTGGGTAGAGGGCAATAGAAGTTAAATACAAGACTACTGGAAGGCAAATAAATGTGCAGATGGTATAGGAACCACTATGAAGAATCGGGAGCAATGAAAGGCAAGTATACAAGCAGAGTGAGGTGGTGGGGAAGATGTTAAGAACCCAAACCTTTCTTCAGACTGTGGGGAAAAGAAGGACCTGGGAAAATGGAGGAGATTTAGGAGTCTGCAGTGGAGTCAGTCTGCAGTGTCTCTTACAGCTGGTGGAAAAGGG